TGTGGAAGTATGGTGGTATTTTTGAGTCCTATAAAGCTCTCGAACCCACACGACACCAGTTTGCCGGGACTAGATGAATAGTCTTTTAAATATTTAAATTAAATACAAACATGTGTAAAAACTAGTGGGTAACAGAAATTTGAATACCCAGATAGAATTACTGATACCCAATGATTTTAAAATGCATGGGTAAAATACCCACAACACCAAAAGCTTATCTGGAGCTCTGTAGTCAATATAGTACATTGTTTGAGTAGTTCATTGAAAGTGTATTTGGTCTGTTGAGGCTGTTTGTATATCAGTGACAGCCAGTTGACCGTGATAGGGGTCTAAAAGGACACAGAACTGGAAAAGAATGAGTACCTAGCCGTCATCAAGGTTTTGACTTCAGAGAAAAGTATTCCCCCAAGAAATTCATGACCGCATGTCCCAAGTGTATGGGGATAATTACTATAGCTATTCTACTGTTCAACGTTGGGCAGCTATGTTTAACATGTTTAAGGCTGGGAGAACAAGCCTTGATGATGACCCTAGGTCTGGACGTCCCTTAACCTCCATCAATGATGATTCAATCAAGGAGATAGAAAAACTTATACTGTCAGATAGACGTATTACCATTGCAGAACCCGAAAAAGACAAAGGTATAAGCCATGGATCCACTGAACCTATTATTCATGAACATTTACAGATGAATAAGATATCTGCTAGTTGGGTGCTAGAGTTTCTAAATTTTGATCTCAATGAAAAATGAACTTACATTGCCAGAGAAAATTAAGTGCTAATTGGGGAGGATTTCGTCAAATTCAAAAAGAGATTCTACCACCATCATCCCGAGTCAAAACGTCAATCCATGCAATGGCACCATTTTACTTCTCCCACACCAAAGAAATTCAAGTCTTCAAGATCAGCGAAGAAAGTTATTGCCACTGTCTTCTGAGATGCAAAGGGTGTGATCCTTGTTGATTACTTAGAAAGTCAAAAGACGATTACCGGTGCCTACTATGCTGATTTGCTTCATCGCCTGAGAGATTCTATCAAAAAAAAGCTTGCAAAGACTGCTGTGTGACAATGTGGGTTCCAAGAGCTTCCTCACCCTCCTTACTCTTGAATTATTGTGATGAAATAAAGTTGAGATTTACCAAAACAGACTTGTCATTGTCAATCAAGTCAATTGCCGAGGATGGAAAGCAACTGTTACTGTTATATCTCAAATGTCCACAAAGCAATCTATGTATAAATGTGCCACCACCCACGAGTGGGGTAAAATATGTTGTTTTCTTTCGCACTTCTTTTAGTGTATTTGCTCAAAGTTACTTTTCCAATTTATTTATCGATATTTAATTAGCATTTATCAATCTCTATGATCTGTATTGATAGCCAGCAACTAGACTGGTGCTGGCGTGTTGTGAATTTGTTTGTTCCTCATGCATATATCATTTTAACATTAGAGAGAAGTAAAAATTAGGGTTGAGTAAGTGAGTGAGTTGGGTTTAACGCCGCTTTTAACAGTATTCCAGTTATATCGCGGCGGGTCAGCTTAATGTGGGAGGAAAGCCCGAAGTGATGCAGGTCTCAGACATTTACCACTTCGGTGAAACCCACGAGCGCGGGTATGGTGCTGACAAACCTAGAAACATAACCGGGGCGAACCGGGATTCGAACTCACAATCATAGGTTTCTGGCGTGCCCAAGGGACGCAACTCTGCACAGCGAATCCTGGCGCCTTAGATGACTGGGACACCCGTGCCCCCAAATTAGGGCTGTAAACTATTCACTGATACATACAATGACATCGATACTTAGGCATAGATGCTACTTGAATCGTCAGTTTGTGAGATTGTGATACATTATATATAGAACAGGAACTGACGGAGTGACCTCAGGTAATGGTAGCAAAGGGCCACTTGTAAGCATGGCTGAACACAAGCAGTGGTGGAAACAGTGGAGGTGCCTGCTACATATAAGCCTTCAGTTGGGGCAAATTTGGGGATTGAAAACTTCTCAAACAGAAGAAAAGGTTGTATCCAGATTGTATCGAGCAGTTATGTCTTCACTACTAAAAATAGCTGCAACAGGCTAGCTGTTCCTTCTGGACTTGCATAAATATTTATTCGAGAAGTTTCCAGGCGATATGATATAAATATGCGTATTGTGATACATATTGTATCATGACCTTGCTGTATCGTTTTACCCCTAACTAGTGGTACCATCTCAGATGCTACTCAGCTTTAGTCAGCATATTGTTTCTTACACTTTCAAATTGCCCTTCACTTTTAAAGACCAATGTAGTGCCACGGGTCAGTCTTTCTCAATTTGTTTAGAACGATCTCGTGGTTCAGGTTTGAAGTCATGGTCGCGCTTAATAAAGGGAGATAACACATTGACAAACAGCAGTCCATACTAGAAATAATTTGTTGTCTGGGACTAGTTGGACCAGGAAAATTTAAATTTATTTAATAATAGATAAAATCCGAAGAAATGCATGTATTAATTTATTTATTGCTGAAGGCTTGTTTCAAGATTTACTGGTAATACCATGCAGTTTTGTGAACGTCAGTAACTATCCTATGGATAAGCACAAACAGCTCATAAAATATTAATTAAAGATAGTTAGTCAAAGATGATACATCTTGCTCCATCTACAGTCAAGTCTCGTTAATCCAACACTCGTTAATCCGGCAATCGGCTTTATCCGACACTATTGATGGGAACCAATTAAATCAGTGCCATTTGGACCTGTTAATCCAACAGTTTCGCACTCTGACTCCGACACACCTAATTTGCAACGAATTGCTGACACCACTCATTAATCAGACACAGTGATCAGTGTACTCCGTGGTCATCTGCCCGTGAGTACACAGCCCTGTGTTTTGATGCAAAACAAGTCGGCGAGGTAGCTGCAGAGATAAACTTGCTAAACAATAAACAATCACTGCTTTAATTAAACAAAACAGGATTATTCACATGCCTAGATTACCTCAATCTCATTAAATCGGATAAAAGCTCTGGCTACCGCTGAACGACCTTTTGCGAACTTTGAACGACCAATGAAATTACCAACAGGAAGTCGACATTAGCCACTAAGAAAGCAGCTTTCTTAAGCATAGTGGCAGTAGTTTCAAATTGACGACTTCCGTTTCGGACTTTGCTTTAAAAATTATTTTGAATCAGTCATACAGTATGTAACAGTAGTACTGTGTTAAACATTAGAGGTTGCATGATTAGAAAACATATTCCTCTAACAATGTAACATAACAATATGAATATTTCCTTTTTTATAATTACATGTTTGAATCGTTATCTATCATGTAGTTGTCCGATTTTTTATCTCGAACGTTGATACTACCTAATGTCGGATTAACGGGACTTGACTGTTCTTTCATCATGCCTGGACCATGATAAAAGAATAATCATATTCCTATTGTATTACGCCACACATTTCTTCTTTTTTTTGTTTCATGGGCCACTGCCCCTACTGAAAAGCAGCCGGTCTAAGAAATAAATGAAACATAAAAATATGTATTTATATTATGTGTCCTGCTAGGAGAAGTATAGTATAGTAGTATAGACCCTCTTATACCGTACAAAAAGTTATAGATCAATTCGGTGACTAGATCACTATTAGTGATTCAAGAGGCCACCTGCAGTTTTAACTACACGGCAGAATGAATGCTGGCTCATCAAACTTCTCATTTTATTCTGTTTGTGTGCTGCCAAAAACGTGTCAGATGTTGCATGACCTCACAACAGCAATATATGTGTCAGTTGCAATAAGTGAGACTTGGCACTTTTGTGCATTATTCACTGCAGTAGACTTTATGTATAGATGATGCCTGCATTTGTTATAAGGTGGTGAGGTGAAATGGGGTTTAACGTCGCGTCCAAGATTATTGCACTTATATAGCGATGTGCATGCACGTGTATGTGTCCGGACTGATGCCTATTTATAGTGCCAGCACACTGAGATATCATGCTGCAGTTTAACATGAATACCCCACTCAGACACAGTATACTGACTCCAAGCCGACCAGTCCTTGTTTTAGCCCCTTAATGCCGAGCGCCAGACAGGGTAACAACAAGTTCCATCTTTTAACGTCTTTTGGTATGACACGGCTGGGGATCGAACCCTGGGCCTTCCGCTCTCCGGGCAGACGCTCTTCCATTAGACCATGGAGGCGGTCGCATTTGTTCAATAAACAAAGATAATTAAAAATATTCGGGTAATCAAGCTGAATAGGCTACATTGGGCAATAGAGCAGTGTTGTCATACAAACATATGCAGCTTATTTGAGCTCTGCACAGTCACTGGGGTAATGTCACCTCCCCCACCCCCTTATCAAAATCCTTGATGTGCTGCTACTAAATCTACAAACCCAATACAAACAAACATTTCAGATCTTTAAAATGTTGCACTGTCAGTATGCACAATAGGGATAACTTACCTTATTTCTTGAAACAGTAAAATACATGAGTTTTCCCTGCATACTTACCTGTGTGCATTTGATTGTAGGAGATGTTAGAATTTACAATTGCTTTAAACCATAATTCAAAGATGTTGCATTCTGTCAATCCTGAACAAAACATGAACTATGTAGAAATCTGAAAAAGAATGACAAAGGTCCTTGCCTGTGATTAAGGTGACCATTATACATTGCTCTGAATCTGATATAGATGTCTCCCCATGATTGCCAAACATTAAATGTGCAAGGGAGCAAAAACAAAACTGTACTTGTGTATATTTTCATATTTGATTGTTCCTGCAGAATTTCCCCATTTGATGTAAAACTGCAACAGGACAAATCAAAACCAAACTACTGAACATGTGTAGTAAAATGTCTTTGACTCAAGTCTGATTGATAAATATTAATTCTGAGGTCAGTGATTCATGTAATAACTCCAGATAAAATTCTGTCAGCATATTCATTGTAACAAGGTATTGTAAAAGATGTACAGCTGATCCTATGAATCAGCTGTAAAGTAAAGCAGTAACAGATAATTACCCATATGCCGTTTCAAGGCTTGAGGTTTGATCACTTGGTTACATTTTTCACAGACAACCAAGTAAAATTCATCTTGGGAAGGACAAATACCAAAAAGGTATTTATCTGAAACAAACAAAATAGATTGTGATTATTTTACATTGACATGAAACTTTTAAATAACGAATTACAGTAACGACTAATGAGCAATGTTGATGATTTATACAGAATCAAGGTCATTATAACTATAAGCTAATTTGCGTTCTAAAACAGTATTTCAGAAAGAATGGATTGCATGCTTACAGAAATCATGTGAATTAGTAGGAAATGCTATTGATTTTGAAGTCAAACATATCGAGGTATCAGGTATTAATGAACCCTTAAGTGTGACCATTTCATTGTGGCACAAAAACACCAGAAATAGATTGTTTAGCTCATCCATGGTACAGATGTTCTGTCATGTTTCAGTCCATATATGTATTATTTAGGGTTAATTTTGGTTGAAACAGTACCAAGATGTGTGATACATAACTTCTGGGTGTGAAAACAATTAAGTTTTACGATTATGATACGCAAAAATGAATACACATGTATTTCCTGAAAATATCCTGGCCATGTGCACATGTTGTGTCTATCAATGTGAAATGTCAAACAACATTTCAGTCAACAAAAACACATACTAGTAACGCGGGCAAACGAAGTAAACAACATTATTAGATTTATGGACTCTTATTTCTTCAAGGTTAATCTCGGTGATGCAGATAAACGGATGTTACAAATCGCGTTATTCTCATTTTATTCATGAATGCACGCTGTCAAAATTGATGTCTCACTAATTTTTGAGAGCAAAGAAATCCGATCAAATAGTTAGAACCCATCGTATTTACCGTCTTTACGGAGTTTCATACTATCACTGTTGTCATCCTTATCTTCTGATTCCTTTGAACCGTCTGATTCTGCAAAAGAAACAAGACAATTTTCAACATGACACTTGTCGTGATCATCAATCTCACCTCGATGAAATCAACTGAACATCAGTTTTTCAAAGAGTGTCTACGCCGATCACAATCGATGAACATGCTTGATGCAAACATATATGATTGATATATGTCTAAACTTACCCTTTTCATCAGCTGTGGACCAACTGTCGGCCAATACTGACCATGGCTTGCCAGCAAACAGCGACGGACTTCTGTCCTGGGTCGCCATTTTAGTTTCTTGTTGCTTTCTGCCAAAGCGAAAAGAGCCGATTATGACGTCATAATCGGAGGGAATCGTGATGATCACTTCCGTTTCTATATACGACAAAGTTGTCTCATTGAACAATATCAGTTACATTGGAGGCACCGTTATGGTGCGACAGACATATAGAGTCTCTAAAACGTCAAATCAAATAAATATACCTTGTAAATTAACCATCTTCTTGGGAATATAGAAATTTATTTTTGTTATGAGGGGCCGTACTTCCGGTTTGAATTTGTAAACATGGCGGTGACAGATGGTTGGTACACGTGAATATCATGTGTTTTATTGTGTCTTTTAGTCTTACAATTTCCCAGTTTTGTTTTTAGCTTTGAATTGTTCTGTTGAAACTATTGTCCCATTTCACAAATGGGTGAATTATATATGCTAGAAATCGAACAGACACACAATATGAATCGGTTTAAAAAAACTTCACTGGATAAACAAGTTTGGGTAATCTAAATTGACGTTAATCACTGCTTAGAACGTGTACTTTATAGAAGAAATGGCATAACAGAGGTAAAAGTTTTGTCACTTTATTGTTATATGCACCGAACGATGCAACCACGTACAGTGTCCAAGTCACTCGGTCCTTTCCCTTGGACACCCTTTGCGATCGGGTTGCGGTATTTTTTTAACCCAAACGAAATACCCCAGAAAATTCGTAACCCTAAAGATATGAAACTTCGTAGCCATTAGAACCATTAGCCCAGTGTTCTAATGTCACAGCCTTCATTATTTACATTTGAGAGAGGTCATTTTAGTTCTTTTTGAGATACAGAAATCAGATTTGTCGGTCGTACATAATGTCCCGCATACTCGTCCGTCGGTCCTGAAGTAGAAACTCAAGAGTCAAACTCTTACTGATTGGGGGGCGTGGGTGACTGAGTCGTCTGAGTCGCCATGATTCGCTGTGCAGAGTTGCATCCCTTGGGCACGCCAGAAACCTATGATTGTGGGTTCGAATCCCAGTTCGCCTTACCCGTGCTCATGGGTTTCACCGAAGTGGTAAACGTCTTAGACCTGCATCACTTTGGACTTTCTTCCCACATTAAGCTGACACACTGTGATATAACTGCAATACTGTTAAAAGCGGCGTTAAACCAAACTCACTCACTCGACAACAGGTCCATATCGAACATGTCAACGAGCAATATATAGACGTTTCCTGCAAACCGTAAATAAATTTAATAAAGTAATAAATAAAATCAACAATATGTTTCTAAAAATGGTCAAACTTACATCTAAGTTACTATTTCAATCTTTTCTTGCGATCGTGTAACATAAGTCAAATGACATCTCAACATTTGTCACCTCAATTTTTTGGCTTGGACATGATTATATGCATGAGCAATCTTTGTCACAGGTCGTAACCTAGCACAATATGTCCACAAAGTTCCATTTTTATACATAGGTCGCAATTTCCTGCTTATAACATGCAAAACAATACGATTTAACTGAAGACATTCGTCTGAATCTGAAACAAATCAAGCATGAGGACGGTATCCTTTGCTGTAATTTGATCGGCTGCCTAAGGTTCATGTGCTTGATTTTGACCAATCATGATCCTTATATTTTTAGATTACGGCAAATGTCACAACAACCTCGAACATACTCCTGGCGAGATTACTGTAATATTATGGATGTTCAGTGCTTTCTAATGGTACCAAACAATGAAGGCATCTTTGCACATGTTATGTATACAAAGCTTCAAAAACAGAGGTATTCACTGGTATTTTCTCATGTCATGAGTAGAAAGCCACTATTATCGTGAAATATATGATGATAGATCATACTTAAAATTCTTTTTATAATAATTTTCAGATTACTTTAAGAATGAAAATAAGAAAGAAATATGTTAGTGATTTGCTCAATATTGTAATCTTAAAATTGCCGAAACTCGCCAAAATTTTCGCTTCCTTGGTGCTTAATCTGGACTTTAGGAATTTGTTAGCTCAATTTTTTTTTATGAAAAAATGAACATAATTAAGATATAAATGCATTATTTAAATAATGTGATAAACGTAACTTTTATATTTATGAACAGTAGGGTTAGACCTTTAAATGATGTATGACATGTCGTAGCAAAGATGTTTCACAAACTGATAATTTACTTGATAGATGTAGGCTTCATCTATCACCACAGAGTCTCTGGGAACTCTGTGATTGCAGTAAAAGCTTCTGGTCGACTCGTTGCGTTTTGTAGTTTATATTGCATGACTGTCTCCCTGCTTCAAAATGTTTGGGCCTAAAGCTTTTCCACTGGGCCTACAGTTTTTGAAATGTGCTGGCCCTTAAGGCTCACAGTTTACTCTGCTGAGTTTCAGACACTGGTCAGTAACCTTTTAAACCAAACTCATCCATGAACCGTCACCAATACTTCAAGGGGGAACGTATTGAAGATGGTGAAGTTTGAAGGGGTTTCGCTTCTATAAAAATGTCAAGTTGGGTATGGTTGGCCAGATTGAAATTTCATTTAACCTGTTTTTGAGCTATTCATAAATTCATGTTTGAAATACCCACCTGCCCAACATTCTGAGACAGGCTGTTTTTTGTCTCGGATGGTCAGTTTTTATGACCTGAACATCTGTTGGTCTTGCTAATTGCTTTTGTAGATTAAGTGAATAAATCAATGGATATGAACTTCTGTCGTGAGTAGTACCATATTGGACGTAATAAGCGCTCAGGGCGCTCTCAAAATTAGAAATAGGGAGCTCTTATTAGACTATAATTTTGGTGAGATTAAAAAGGAGGTTGAAAGATTGTAAATTTTGTGGTTTATGCTGACAGCCTGAAATGATATAAAAGAAGAATCTGTGTGTATTATACACGATAGATATATTTTCGAGAATGTAATTGCCCATAATTAAGGCTGCATATAACAAACGACTGCGTATTATAAACGAATAAATAAGTCTTGTGTACATTGATCAATCTGAAAGGGTGCTAACTGGGATTGTTCACTAGCCAATATATTAGCAAATATCGCCGTGGGCGCTTATTACGCCGAATACGGTATTTAGATAATGACCTGGGTGCTGTTGTACTAAAGCGCTACGACTGCCGTAAGTCTATGTTAAGGTATGGAAGGTTACGATCACCTTAGCACTAAGATCGCTTTGTACAACATCACCCTGATACTAATATGAGTCTAAATTATTCTCATCTGTAGGGCATTGTCTTTACTGTTCAGTCCACTTTAAAAATTCTGTACCGGTAACGTCTTAACTGGATTGTCAATTTATTAGTCTTGCTAGTCTGACTATCTGGCTTAAATTTATCTGAATTTTTAACGCTGATATATCATGTGTAAATCCATGAAAAATACTATTTTGATCATTTGTGAAGTTTATTTATATATTTTGATTTTGACCCTTGTATGACCTTTGTCTTTCACAGCATACTCAGTACCTAAAATACAGTAAAGTATTATTTTCATGTGAGATATGACGGATAAATTAGAACAAGTTTTGTCGTGTCTTAAAGAGTCTTATAGACAATTTGTTTTGCCTTTACAACTGGAAAATCTCATTGATCAATTTCTCATCTAAATTGTGTAATTTACACCATGCACACCAATAGATATATGCATCAGTGAACTTGGTTAGAAGTATGAAACAATCAATAAAACATGACGCATGTTCAGGGCAGGATATTGTTTACTACGACAGGCTGTATACCTAGACACCCATTAACAAAGTGCATCTGCCATCAATATATTACATCCAAGTGGAGAAAGTACAATAGAAAGCTGATGAGCCGTCTGTTTTCTTTCAGTATAATGTTTATGGAATAATTATCATATGAATGTAGGCAGCATGTTTTAAGCTTTTTGGATTATGTAATTAAAATATCAACTGGCGAGATGTAACCTTAAATTTGTAATACTGTGATTGCATATCACTGTGGATGACATTTGGAGAGTGTCTGGTTTTAGCAATATTCCAGCAATATCACTGGGGGACGACAGAAATGGGCTTCACACATTGTACCCATGTGGGAATTAAACTGGGTCTTCAGGGTGAAGAGCGAACGCTTTAACCACTTGGCTACCCTGCCGCCCCTGTCAATTAGAGGGTGTTATAGAAGAAGAAACGTTACTTACAATGTGACGTTGATTCAAAACATCCGCATGAGTTTGGTCTAGTATCATTGTGGATATATACATGCACTTAATCAGAAATCAATTTGATGACCCAGGACGTACTGCTCACTAAGTCTTTGTTTGTTATCACAATACATAAGTACTCTTTCAATGGAATATGGCTTTCAAGTGCACGGCAGGTTTATTGATGCTATCAAGTGACCCCAGAAGGCAGCATATGGCGAAACAAAGTCAATTATGTATTGATAAAATATGGGCTTCAGTGAAATGTTGTGTGATATAACAGATACCGATATAGATGTAATGTTTTGATATAGTTTTATGTGGACTTTGTCAGTAGCTTGTCCTTGGCTACACAACAATCGAAGTTAAAAAAGCTTTTTGATTTTGTGATGTTTTGTAGTAAACATGATGAGGCAGGATTATTTTCAGTTAGAAAACAAATTATATTTGAAAGGCAAAATTTGATTCATTCTGCTCTCTGCCCATTGTTGTTTTTTTAACCAAAAAAACCCCACCTGTTAAACTAAGAAATAACAAAACTACTGACTTAAACATGTTATGATTTAGTCTTGATTTGATTAATGGAAATAGATACAGCCAGAGAATACTTGAAAATAATAATTGTCAAACATGCAAAACCAAATTCAATATTTATGGAAATACAAATTAAACAATTAGTTTTACCTTCCTTCAAAGATATTTGTCTCTTACAACTTTATGGAATTTATGATGGAATATATTCATCTCTACTAGGGCCAGGACGGGTACTCCGGTCAGGTGGGCCCTGAGTAGGACCTGCTGGATTACCTCTACACGTGGTTAGTCATGTGATGTATTGTTTAATGGCAAAAATGATCAAACTCCATGGTTACACTACAAGTTGCTAATGTTCGCCGTTCGTCCTGACTCATCTTCCTGAGGCAAGAGAGTTAACTGACTTTAAAAGTCCAGTTTCCACCCTTGCCGAACTAGGCTGGTATTACTGGGCTCCATCGTAGCGCCACCAGTGGCTATTACCAGCTATGTCCCTTCTAAGCCTCTCCTATGGACCAATCAGATTCCACCTCTCATATAACTTGCGTTTGCTTCACACAAAATGGTGTTGCCCGGTCAGGACGATCTGATCGATAATCAATATCTATATTGTGATA